CCGGTTTGCGTGTTAGGCAGAGTGGTACCTACAAAATGTGACACGCGAATAGCGAGAAAATCTGCGGTGAGTCATCGCGTGGGAGACACGATTGGAGGAGTCGAGGGGTGGAAACGTCAGTGATCCCCACCCGCCCCCCGCGCCAATTGCAGGAGTCGTGCGAGTGCATGCACGCCTGTCACCACAGCAAGCGGTTGGGCGGTCGGGCGGGCGGTGCACTCAGCTGCGCCTTCAAGAATGCTGCCCCGCTTGTCGTCGCGTCTCCGCGTAGTAAACTAAATCACTGTGTAGGAAATTCGGCATAGCAGGAAAAAGGGCACACCAACCACACATAAAATTCCAAGTTTGAAGCATATTATGCGAAGCACTTCAACTTCCTTCTTACTAAGTATTGCTTGAAGCTTGCTCAGCATACCTGCCAAAAGTGGCAACCATTTGGTACGAAAAGGTGCAAACAAAACCAGAAAAGAAGGCGAACGGCAGTTTCTCGGCCAACAGGAAATGCAGCCACGCTATCTGGGAAACTTGTGGGGGTGTATTGTTTTTTGTTTGAAGCCGATTTCCAGTAGGGGCAAGCGCAGCTGGATTATTTTTCTATTCAGAAGTTATGGCAATTCAGTTCTTAGTGGCACAAATAGGGCATTGCATTAACACCCCAGACTTTCTTGTTCCTATTCAAATGTAAATAATATAGAAACCAATGAATACCGCTTACAGAGTTCAAGTTAATTATTTTACTGCCCCCTCCCCACGTGGTGGGTTGACGCTCGTTGCCCAGTCCGTACAAAAGTGTTTCGGCCTTCGCAGGGCATGTATTAATGATGTTGAATTAAACTTTTAGGGCTCCCTACAAAAAAACGCAAGTTATCCTGCAAAGGGCATGTTTCGAAGTAAAATTAAATGCTAACCACTGCGATAATTACATGTCCTTCAGACCAAGCTTCTCCACGCTCCGGACTGTGGGAAGTTGCGTGTTTCCAACGGAAGGCACGGTAAATGCAAGGCAAGCTGATGAACTCAAGAATAAGATAAGAGCTTTTGTGAATTGTTTGTTACCTGACGGAGTTTCAGAGACCTTTGTAAATAATAAATTGATCGGAGGAGCAGTGCGGCTTTATAATGCGCCTTCCACGTTTCGTCTCAACGGCAATCAGGAAGTCGAAGTAATGGGGGCAGACATCTGACTAAAGTACCAGGTCTAAATTTGTAGACATTTTCCACATCACCTATCAGGAGTTTATGCTAACTCTATTCGTTGTTAACGCAAACGGCGCTTATCAAAACAATCAAAAGTTGAAAATATTGTCTCACTGATTGCAAACAAGCAGGGCACGAACTTGACTTGTTTCATTACTGGTTAAACGGCGTAAAACACCGCCAGGGCCAAGTGGTGTTCTGGAACCCCAACTGGGCCACAGAGTTGTACTGGCTCGTTTATGCTGCACTGAAGAGAAGGATCGGCGGAATGATAGAGACGAAGGTTTACCAGAAAGCCCAAATTGGTTGTTAGTCGTGTGCGTGCGTTCACAGCCTTGTGTTGTTATTGGCCACTGCAGTTTGGGTGAACTTGCAAAGTACACCTCACTGAATGGTTGGATGAGTGATGCAGATGCAGGGGACCGTGGACAGACGGGCGTGCTGTAGTATGGGGGGGGTGGTATGCTGGAGCGGGTTACTGGACGCGGATTAACACGATTCCATATACACAGAACCGGTCACATTAAACAGTACAACTTTCGGTATCCTGAACATAGATCAAATTTCCATAAGGGTAATTCGCTGTTGACTAAAATCAAATGAGCTACGATCCGCACTCGAACACCTGACTTTTCGCAGTAGAGCAAAAACGTCCATTAAGGAATACTACTGGCAACACCGTAGTATGGCCAAAAATACGATGCTGCCTGCACCTCGTAAATATGAAGCGTAGACGTCCTCATCTACCTGGAAAAAGGCTGTCCCAAATGACGCGGTTTTCCGCGCTGACACTGAACAAACTAGTTCAAATAGTTAGCGCTCACTTTAACAATTTTTTTAACTACTAACGGAATCAGGCTTTACTGCTCAAACTTGAGCGATTGATAATCGTCGTAGTGACGAAAAGAGAAAAATAAATAAATTTTATACTGTAGTTTTTTTCAACTTGAGGAAAATGCATGCCAGGAACGAAGAGTGGAAAAATCTGCGTGCGATGACGTTTCTCAGGCTGCACGACTTGTCAAGAAGTCAGGCACTTGAGTATCCCACGAACTGAGCACGAAAAGTTACGCTGACCGCCTTAGATTAGAATTAATTGCATAGAAACGTTGAAAAAACAAACTTTTATCGAGTATTAGGTTCATGACTTATTTTCCACAGGTTTTTTATTAGAGCTTAAAATCATATTTGATGCAGAAATGTTATCGCGGACGTGAGGTTTGAGAACATCGAACGATGAGTCTACGTGAACTAAATAACCTCCCAGAACTGCAGAGTTTACAATGGCAGCTGATAAACAACACATTCGATGGCACTGCCTTTTATACGGATCCCATCAAGGAAACGAGGCCTCTGAAGCACGGACGTCTTCTTCTTGGTGCCGACGTTGTATCTCATGGAACGTGCTGTTATTGGCACAAACGTTTTAAAAGTGATGATTTTGATCTTAGTGACTAGCCACGCCCCGGACAGTCTCGCAGTTTTGAAGGTGAAGAATCGCAAGCTCTGCTGGATGAAGACTTAATGCAAGCTCAACAAGAGCTTGCAGGTAAGTTTGGAGTCTCCAAAACAGTTATTTGCAAGTGTTTGCACCACCGAATGGGAGCAATTCAAAAAATTGGAATTTGGGTCCCAAATGTTTCGACCGTACACAACTCAGGGCAACAGCAACTGGACTTCTTATGAAAAGTTGTAACAAGTTGTGAATAATATATTGGTTATAGGAATCCAAAATCTAAAAGGTCGTGGGTAGATCCCGGGCACCCGAGTACATCGACGCCAAAACAGGACATTCACTTGAAGGTTCTCCTGCGTATCTGTTGGGACATGAAGGGTGACGGCGGAAGGCTAAAGCCGACAACTGGACGAACTGAGCGAAGAACGTAGCCAGAAAAGGCCATTTACTTGACAAGGAAGCAGACAAGTCATGCTACTGCTCCATGACTACGCTCGACGTGACGTTGCCCACGGTATTCAGACCTTCTTGCCCTTGGGATGGGAAGTTCTCCCACACACGGCATACTCACCAGACTTGGTCCTATCCGACGGCTATTTGCGGCACGCCTTAGTAGATACACAGTTCAAAAGGCTAGATGTAGCAATTAAATTTGTCGACGATGAATATATTGCAAGTTTCGGTTGAGACGGCATTTATACGTTACCTGAGAGAGAGCGAGGTCATAGAAGACAATATTTCCAAGATTAAGTTCGTTGTTCTCAACTGTTTATGTTACATAAATTTACTGAAAAGTTTGTAAATAACTTGAAAATTTGGGAACTCGAGTGGTCCAAGTTTCGTCGCCCAGCTGGCAAGATGGTCTGGATGGTTTTAATGCGCAGTACAGTTTCGTATAAAAATCGTTAAGAAGGCAGACAGGTTTTTCTTTATTTATGTAGCCATTCTTATTCCTCATCACGAACAAGTTGTTTATCATTACTTTATGTGCAAGACGAGTTTAACTTACGTTGGAAGCAGAATAATATGGGTTAATACAGTAATAATGGCATACAAAATGTTGAGATTACCATGCCAACCCGTAACAGAAATAAAGAAATAGTAAGCGAAGCACAGTCTCGCGGATGAGCAGTAGATTCGAATTTCGTCATTCGAGTATTCAGTATTCATCATAAACACCTCGACAAAACTAACCACAACAGGGGCTAATTGACCGAACAGTTAAACAACTGCATGAAACTGCACTGAGGGCTGCCTTAGTACCCAAACGCTGTTTTACAACTATATCTGGTGGCAAGACTAGTAGCACTGCAGGCGTACCTTTGGAGGGGGTCGTGAGGGAGAATCGCCTAAAGCTGATTGGACCCTCTCACCTCCCCCCACCCCTCCTTCCTTGGTCTACCTTCGCTGGTTCTCTTCAAACACACCCACCCACTCGCCGGCGTACACGTACTACCGCCACATCGTACCGGGCAGGTGATTAAACGTTGTGTCCACCTTGGTCTGTCGCCTTCTAATCACCTTTGCTCTCGTACTCCATGGCTGTTAGCAGCCAGTTGGATTGCAAAGTTGCCTGTCCATTGCTGCACGTCCAGCCTATCTGGCCAGAAACTTCCTTACGCTTAATACTACGTGGGTTGATTGGCGGTTTGTGCGAGAGATTTGATCGCGGTGATAGTAACTTGCTGATTGGGATGTAGCGCATAAATCGACTGGACACAGACGAAAATCCTCTACAGATGGTTTTGCAGGGATAAGCATTAAAAACAGCCTCTCGTAGTTAGAAGCCTAATGACATTTCCAAAAAAAGCAATAGCAACTGTCGGGATAGCAACCTTAATTCAATGACAACTTTATACAAGCGGCTGTCAACACAAGTAGAATTTTAGCTTTTTTTGGACATTCAGCAGTTATCTCAAACCTCTAGGAATGGCAATCAATGCATATTGAACAAAAAGGATCAAGCACTTTTAGAGAATCTTAGTAATCCTGTAATTTTATTGCCCCTCGCACGGGGCACTGCAAGTAATTCACTTTATTAATTAATTTGATGTGACAAACTCTGATTACCTTAAATAGACAAATTCGAGACAACAGCAGCGGCCAGCCAATATGCAACTGTAAAGAGACAGATGTTAGCGCATCACATCGAAAAGGGTTAGGTGTTAACTCTAAGTATTTTCCACACAAGACGCAAGTCTGGACGTCCGCCGAGGTTATGAGACGAGGGCATCGTGGATATTGCACAAGAGGCGAGTGGAAGGAGGGAGGGAGAAAGGGAGGGAAGGGCAACCGTAAATGCTGGTTCGGGGTGGAGGACGACAGGAGTCAGACAAAGTACGGTGCCTCAGTTGACGTTCTCGTCTGAGACGTCACTGGGTGCAGAAAGGTTGGACCGGAATCCCCCAGCCAACTGGACTCGACCAATTGGCCTATCGTAGTCTTCCATTGACATTCGTCTATTCAAATTTAGCGGGGCGGATTGCATCTTTAAATGACTTACTAAAATCGAAGAAAGTAATACTGACTTTGCTTAAAGTCATGTAAGAATGAAGAAACAATGTCAAAGTCGTCTTTCATCAAAGGAAATTCGCTCGCAGTAGAAATTTCGCCGTCTCTGAATTTGAATCCAAGTCTGCCTTTTCTTTTAACGTAAATTATTGAGGGGGCAACGATAGAACTAGTGAGATGCAAGACTCTTGTATGTTTGACCCCAACGACTCATGTGCTGACAAAAGGAAATCCAGTTTTCAGCCTGCATTCAATGAAAAATCACTGAATTTTACACCCACCCGAATTCTGCTTGAGGAATAGCCTCGTCCTGCCTACCGCTGAGGCAAAAATGACAAACTTTCGCTTGGTGAAAACATAAAAAATAACGCTTTGCTGCATAACTTCGAGCGAATGTAAGGATTACTTTGAGTCAAAAAAGTTAAAAGAGCCGACGATACTGTGAAAGGAGCCATTGAATAGGTTTGGAAAAGCGTGAACAGAGCAACGACGATCGGACAAAACGTAATCACAGTTAAAAATAAACATTGGCAAGGAAAGTGCGTAATGTACAAAACAAGTACCTACCTAGCCCGATGCCCTGAAGGAAGTACTGCATACTTTCAATGACCTTATCCGGCTAAAAATAGACGTAAGCAGCAAAATTCACGAAAAAAAGGAGTTGGCTTGAATAAGTTCGTTAAACGCGCTAAACCCACCCTCTCAGCGAGAACATTTGCAACATTTTCTACCACGAACAACTCTCTAGTGGCGCAGGACCTGGCATTGTGTACCTTCATCAGAGCCTCGTAGAGCTTCTCGCAGCCTTTGCGCTGCGGCGCCAGTGCTCCCGTTATGAGCAAAACCGAACATCTGCAGGGGAAACGGCAAACTTTCAACCACCCTTTTTGCTCGCCTTACTCCGATTAATAATACACCTTCGGTGAAAAACGGGAAAGAAATTAACTGCAGCAGATTGGGATCATTCGCACCGATTTTGTGATGCTCGCTGAGGCGATTTTAAACAAATTGCGCGACCAGAAGAGAATACAGACTGAGTCTAACTTAGATGGCACTTACTTTGCTTAATGACACGGTGTTGGGTAGGCTTGATCCATGCAACGTACACAGAAAGAGCAACATCATGGCCCAAATCACATAAAATATTATGTTTGTCAAACGTAAGAGATGAGTGTTGTCGGTGTGCAATTTTAAACGTTCAAAATTATCAAAAAAATTTACTCCTATATCCAAAGCTATCCCCGGGATGTGGTGCATTGATTATCAAGCTGAAAAATGTTTGCTCATAGGTTGTTTGCCCAAATAGGAGAAAAAGTTTAATTCACACTATGAACATATCGGTGGGACCCACGTTTACGTGGGAGTCCAAAAATAAGAGCTAGGTGAGGGGAGTCAAACAAACAAGTGACTAGCGAGAGTTTGCCGGAATGCATTTAACTTTAAAATGCCTCAGAGGTTGATTTCGCCTTATCAATTTTGATAAAACGAAAACTTTTGATTTTTCAGGTGATGGTACAGTTGATAGTGACACCCTCTGGGGGCAAAGTTGAGGTCAGGTTGCCGAAAGATCTGCCTTTAATCAAAAGGCTTTTTGTATCTCACGGTAGCAGGCAAGGTCAACTTTCTTGCTATAAACAGTAAATTTACCAAACCGAAGTTGTTATTTGAAAGACGAATAACCTTGGCATCTGGACACGGACACATTTGTTAGAATTGGCTTTACACTAAGATCAGAATGCAGTAATTGATGGGCTAAATCTCTGTGTCGAAACATGCCAGATCTGTTAGGCAAAAGCCCTCAGTCAGATGACTTGAGCCAACAGGACAACAGAATCTAAATGTACTGCATTGAAGCGAAAAAGAAGTTGGGGGTATTTGAAAGTAGGAGGTTTACGGCTGACGAGATATACGTAGCGTAAAAACTGATTTGGTTTTTTTGAGAAAAAGTACGCATGATTATTTGCTAACACACACTGGCGATAAGATGTTGACTAAAAACGAATGTGAGGCAGGCCACTGCATTGAGGTTGCTGAAGTCACTGTTTTTGCGGGTTTACCCGGGGCTCTGCGAAATCAGGGAGTCACGTGGCAGCTTGAGTGAAAGGGGCTTACATAGACAAGGTTTAACAGCTGGTCTGTAATTTGGTTTCTGTACAACGACTAAGCGCACGAATGTACAGAAATACAGTACGATTAAAATTATTCTCCAATGCAAAAATGTTTAAGTCCTTGGAGTTCACGACGCAGGGGATCGCATTAATTTGAAAAGATGGGTGCGTCAGTTGTCAGTCGGCGGCGATTCAGTTGCAGCCTTTCGATTTTAAGTCAAGTTTATTCATGTAGCAGGCAGGTCTAGATCTTAGATTACTGATAATGGTAATAATTCTGGAAATTCGGGAAATTTGTGTAGACCAATGAATTTGATACTATAATTAGCAGTACAATTTCTTGGTGGCAATACTTCTATACAAAAAAAATTCTTACTGAGCAGGTCATACAAAAGAGTTTCAAAACAACTCCTCTTTTTGTAAGGAAAAAAATTAGGTAATAGGCCTAGTAAAGACTGCATGCTCTTCTGGTTGATGATTGCATTTTGTGAGCTTGGGAGAGTGACCGCCCTTGAAGTTTTTTGTGGCATAGTCACAATAATAACTGAAGTTAGAGTTCTCGACAAATGGGCTGCAGATGAAACAAAGAACTGCCGGCGAAAAAAGGTTCACAAGTAGTTCCATAATGGGCTGCAGATCTGCTATGGAAAGTGGGGAGAGACTCAGACAACACAAATTGACAACGGATGTGAATTAATGGCGCAGATAACCTGCATCTGTGTAAACCTAAAACTTATGGAGGAAGTACGGTGGCCTGAAAGGACTAAAACCGAGATAAAATGCAAATTTCACATTACGATAGGCGCGTATTCGCATTCGCCCCATTCCCGACCATTCGCAGCACAACTAACCCAGTGAGGGTGGAACACAAGAGTGTGAGTGGCTCTGCTATATCCATAAAGCCCACTTGAACGTGAGGTAACGGCATGCCACTTATTTTCAAATCGTGAACACCATAGAAAGCCTAACAGATTTTGCGATATAGATGTGGTTAAAGAGAACTGTCCCAACGTTGATTGCGTATGTCCTCGCAAACGGGGCAAATAGTGCATATTTTAATTACTACTAGGACTGGGATTAAAAGAAACGTGTATTTTAAAATCTTATCTTTGACAATTCATGTCGCACGACATAGATCGAAGCTTTGAGCAAATCTGCGAAGTTTAAAGCAAACATTAATCCTGGATTGAAGGGCTGGACACGTTTTTAAGTAAGCTTTCTCCACAGAAAGATTTCCCAAGTCAGGATTTCTGCATGTGAAATTACAGCAGTCCAACTTACTTTAAGTCAGCAAGCCTCTCACTGAGGGGTTTTCTCCTGAAAAGGAAAATCACAAGCCCGTAAGAAAAACGGGAAAAAAAGGGATTGGTTACGTCTCGAATTTTCCTTTGTTAAATTCAAAAGCATTTCATTTCTATTACGGCTCATTTGATAGACGTGGAATGAGTTGAACAATTTCGAAAATTTGCTTCGCAGGAGATGAAGTGAAGGGTAAGACTGATTGGCTTGTCTTAGTTGCAGTTAATTGGCTCTTCCGACATTACCCGTTAGGTTTAACGATTCAAAATGCTTGCATTTGCGAAACATTTACAAACCTCAAAACAAGGAGCTTTAAGCTTGTACAAAACACACTTGCGCGGGTGGTTTTAGCCATGGTTGATTCCTGGCAAAAACTAAAATTCCTTCAGCAAATGAAGGGCCTTAGTACTGCGGTCTTGAATATGAACGGAATATTCAAAACCCGATGTAATACACGAAAAGTAAAAATTAACAAATTTGTGTGGTCACGGTCTGCTATGTGAGCAAACGGAACAAAAATTGCATTCCAGTTTATGTAAGCAGGTTTTTCACAAAACACGGGCATACAAGTCGTCGACGGGTACAGAATTGGCAAAACGAGACGTTCAAACATCAAGGGCAAAACATTAATTATTAAAAAATGCTTTATCCTTTAGTCCTTCCATGGTGTTAGCTAGTAGGCAAACGTGATACTACAATCTTACAACATTTGCTTAATATTTTGCTATGGGAATAACATTTTAGTTAGTAAGATGGCCTTGAAATCACTGCATCTTCTCCGTTCACACATGGATAAACCGCAAAGAGTTATCAATTGATTGGTTTCTAGAAGTTAGGTAAGAATTCACCTAATGCGGTCTCAAGCTTTTCAAGAAGCGGAACTTTTAAAGCAATAAATTAGAACTTACTGCATGTAGGCTGTAATGTAGCGATTAAGGTTTTTCGGATTTATCGAATGCTGCAAATTTTCTCTGAAATGTTCAATTGCTTGTTTCAGCTCCAATTCGGTGCCTGTATCTGTCAACTAATGACATTTGAAAGTAAACGGTCAGATACTTTTATTTTTACCAGGCGAAACCCGACACATTTAGTGAGAATATCTTAATTCCTTAATTTGGAATAATCCACATGCAATTAGAAGCACTGCAAAGTATTCATTCTAATTGTATCTTATAGATGCAGTACGCGACGAATTGTAGCGCGCAAAAAGTGGTCAACCATGGTTATTTGGACATGACAATAATGAGTCAAACTGTTTTCGCAATACTTCAAGTTAATGTTAAGTCGACCATGTATTTAAGTAAGTTGAAAACAAAGGTGCCAGTACAGCATGGTTAGTAATTACTCTTTGGGCTACGACTGATACTAAGAACAACGGAAACCGAACAGAGAGAGGGGAGAGGTTATTTAATCTATCCGGTACGCTTAAGCACACTCGAGGGCGCAATCTCATCTCTCAAATTTGTTAGTTAATGTTTATTCTACAGCAATAAAACTGGTAGGGGGTTAAGACCGTAAAGAAATGGCAATTAGTTTTCTTCCCTGAGAGACAACGTTCCTTACTCGTTGGCACCAATAATTTTAGTGATGCTTGCATTAAAATTCTCAGGTCACGAATCACAGAACAGAACAGGGAAATTACTTAGTTGAATTTTACATTGAATTCCTCTGGACTCCGAGGAGAGATCGTTTAAAAAGGCAGCAGCAGATTATGCTATTTTGACGCGTCCTAAAATGGGCTTAAATCATGTTCTAAACATTTAAGGGAGGAGGCAACAACGGAAAAGTGGATGGCTAGAAGGTTCTCATGTGAAACAGGACTCACACAACCGAATCTGTGGAGAATAAGAAAGCTTTCTGTCGCAGGGGTCATGCCAGTTGTTTTCAGTTTCCGGTTGACTAACTAAAATATAAAATACAGTTTTCGCTACACTCACTAGCCTCCACTTAAAAAAAATTAAATGACTTTGACAATTAGCAGTAGATGGTTTTGAGGGGCTCAGACGTCGATAAACGAGTGACAAACAAAGTAGCATGCTTGTCATGAGGCGGACAAATCCAGCCCATGTGAGCTATGCTTTGTGGGAATACTTTATGTCCAAAAAGTTGACTTGTGACGACAGCGAGCTGACAGTTTCAGTGCTGAAAAAACCTAACTCATGCCACATCTTACTCGAGACAGGAAAAAATCCTGAGAAATGACTGCACGCAATGCAATTAGGAAGCCGCAGGTCCCACTGCGCAAACCCAATCATTTGTACAAAGCGAGCATTTTGCGCGTTGAGGCATTGCAAGCGTCTTTTGGAGGCTAGTTTTAACATAAAGTATGACAAAACAACCTGCACTATCGAAAATGAAAATGAACTACCTTGTCCCTTAAAGAGTCTCCAAAGCTGGCTGTTTGACCGGTGCAGTGAATAAGTACGGCCCCCATTACCATCTCGTCATAGAGCATCTAAAAAGAGAACACAAACAAATCATAAACAGATAAAATTCGCCATCTAAAAACGATAATAACCACGTGGTGAGGGTCCAGGACCTAGGTATGTTTCGTACAACGTCGGACATTGGCGTGGAGTTGTACAACACCTCTAATGCCGACCAATGCTTAGCATTTAATTTCTTACTCTTGGTACAGGGACATCCAAGTAGCGAGCTTCGAAACGACCCCAGGGGCTTTCGGGTGATAGTAAACATTTAGCTAATTAGATCAACATTGATCCACGAGTGATATAAATTTGAATCTAGAATGCAATTAGTGGGTATCGAAAGGCAACCAATCATAAACCATGAAGAACGTCACTACACTCCGTATGTTTATCAGCCACGGGAAGTTGACGTTGATTAAACAAAGTACTTTAAGCACGGTGGCTGATCTTCTGCTACTTATGCGAAGTGGCACAGGCGTGCCACTTCTTCGGAAACACTTCAAATCCCTGGTTGACGAAAGTTAGCAAAACCCAATTTATTCCGCCAGTATTTAAATGCAATTACACTCGAGAGGACGGCGGCGTTAGGTAAAAAGGTTAGGTCCTTGATTTTCCTCGATGAAACTCCCATAACCAATTCTGCGTTGAAAGCAAAAAGAACAAATACTGACGAAGCTGGAAAATCAGATCAGATCTCCGTATTTTAACTTATGATTTTCCGTGAAATCGAACTGCATATATGATTTTAAAGGGTAGATATAAGGAGAATTGCCTGGTGATTGGGTGGTTTAGTATTTGGCATTTCTCCTCATTATTCCTAAAAGTACCTTAAACAAAATAAAAACCTTGGGGGCGTATTTAACCAACAGGCCGCTGCGCAAATTTAAAGAATATTGCTTAGCAGAAAAGCATTTCTGCAATTCGGAAATGGACCACTTTAGGGTCAAGCAAAAACACATTATATGCATAATGACATCCGTTAGCTAATTCAGCATTGTACCTACATGAGACGGTATGTAGTGACAGGCCATGAAGGGGGCTGTCTGATCGGTCTGAGAGTTTAGATCCCTTATGAAATACCGTGCTATTTGTAGGCATCCATTCTTAATAAATTTCGACGGCTGCGTTAATAGGGAGTAAAATAAGAAGTTCGAAGATTATGCATCTACCCGAAAGCCACCCTGATGAACGCTATGGCACACAGACACGGACGTAGGGCAATGCATAGGGAAGGATCAGGCGCGAGCGAATCCTACTTATTATGAAAAACCATAAATAAACAAAAATATATTTTATTACACAATGTTACAACGAATGTTCAGAACTTAAGCTACTGTTTGTAATAGGTAAATAGCGTTGTTCAGTGGTAACATAAGCTTGTTCAATTTATTTACAATCTTTATTGGTGGTTATTGATCAGTTATATTTGAGTTACCCAGTGTTTCAGAAATGACTGAAATCAGGTAAGTAAATTTACTATAGAGCACAATATCACAATCTTTTTTGCCAAGTTGCAAAATGACTATAAGCATCAGGGAATGTTTTACTTTAAATAGACTATTCAAAAGTGGCGCACCCCGCTACACACTAAGATAAGAGTTAAACTTCAGAGAATTTTCAATAACATGGGAGTATTTAACCAACAAACCCTGAACCAAAGTTTGCCAGCCAGAGTTGCAGGTGGAGGAATGATTAACGAGCGGATGTTCAGGTTAAAAACAGACCATTTGGGGGTGAGAAAATCAACCTATTCGACTGACTCATGGACACTATTCGAAAACATCACTAAAGCAAGTCAGTTGAGGTTTAGGTTATTAAAAAACAAAGCGTTCACTTACAACCCCACTACCAAGAAACGCGTTTTTCTGCCTTTTTCAAGTAAAATTGGAAATTTATTGATCGTTTAACCCAATTTGAAGGGCATGGTATATTTTGATTAGTTTTAATAATGTTGCCCAAACTAATTGCACTGCAGTAACGGATATGAATTGTAATTTGCAACACAGATGGTGAAAAAAGTTCAAGTAAGGATTATGTATTATGTATAGTAAAAGCAATCGTTTTTTTAATAACGCGTTTAAGAGCAGCTGATTAGGATTAGTGGAAACTTTAAGTTCAGATTTAGCATGCTAGATAAAAACAAAGCCGTATTATCTGAAGATAATGCATTCACTTTTGGCTTAACATTACTAACTCTCACAGGAACTCGTTTATGGCAAACATACTTTTTTTAATGTTCAACACGTCCGGAATACTACACAAGTGACTCCCATAGGCATTGCTTGAAACACTATTAAAGTATCTAATGATATTTATAGAATGTCCCCGATCTGGTAGATATAAAGGCATAAAAAGTAGCACCTTTCTAATTTGTACATTTTATGATGCGTGTCTTTGCCTAATAGAGCCAATCAAAAAAACTAATCAAATCAGGAAAACAGTTACCCCTCAAACATCATAGAGTTTGCGCTCCACGAAGACCCTCAAAATTCGGATTTCCGCGATGTGGTGTACACAATGTCAGCTATTAATCCATGCTGAGTACAGTCTCACGTTGGCAGACTCGTTAGTTATTAAGCGTTCTTCTTTTTGCATTGGGATCTTGCTTTAAGCTCATTAATTGATTAAATTTTAACTAATGATTTCAATATAACCATCTTTTAAATATTTCAGGGACAAAATCGTTATTTTGCGAATAAATTACATGTATCAACAATCCGATAAAAATCGAGAATCCACAGAGCGTATTCCAGGAGAAGACCTCGTAACATCGAGTCTGTGAATGGAGAACCGCGAAGTGGAGAGTGATTGGGGACAATAATTATATAACTCAAAGATGAATTTCGGATGGAAATTAGAACACAACAAACCCACGCATTAGATTCTCAAAATCAATGAAATTTTGAAGGTAAGTTTAAAGCAATCACGTTTCTTTAGGCTTTGTAAAGTGATATCTCGTCTTTTAGTAAGATGAAGCAACGAGATGCTTTACCGCTCTTAAGTCCGAACATCTGTTATCATGGGCAATGAAAAGCGCAAACAATCTGGACGGAATGCCAGCACTACGATAATTGGTACTCCCAAAAATGAAATGTGAATGCAGATGTTGTTAACGGCACGTGATTTTCGCGAAAGCAAGATACCAGATAGTGGATGTAACAAGCGGCATTAATGAGGCAAATAGGACTGGTCACAACGACTTTTACGAACTGTTGCAATATTTCCCTAATTACGGTAGTTGACGTCGCTTGGCGATGATTGTCAACATGAAGTAGTAAAATACTACTGACGCCATGCACGGCTTTTTGAAGCAGGGGAAACAAAAAAAGTAACAGAAATTACCGAGGAGCTTAGTGTGTGCTTTGAACTTACCGCAAAGCGCGCCAAAATGTTTGCCCCAGCACCCTCGCCAAACAGAACGACGTGGTCGATGCTACAATGGAAGGTGAGCAGAGGGTTTAGATTAGAGACGACGATTCACGAAAGGCAACGATGCCTTCAACCGAGGAAGCTCAATAAATGCACAAAACAATTTATACTTGATCATGTAGAGGTTGTAAATTTCCTTGAAAAAAGGAAGAGGATTCAAAACGGTTTATACGGGATGTAAACAGCCGTTAGCAGTGTTGTTTATAAATTATGATTAGCATTCTGTGGATCAGGTTTCATGGAAAGAGTAGGTGAACAAACCGTAGCCCATTACAGTTCCTCGTGTATAACTGTTTATACAAACCGTAATTTTGTTCTCGAAAACAACAACAATGCCTAGAGGTTTAATGCTGAGGCTTTATTATGTCCCTCTAGCATGATCGTCGCATTTTGAGTCAAAGCGTACAGAGCAGCGCAGTCAGAGACGATGGTGAAGTTTGTCGGAAAGGCGTTTGAAAATGCTCAGGTAGGCAATAAAGTGCAATTAAAAAGCGGATACAAATCAAAACCGAGAAATTATGAATTACTTAAAAAAAGGGAAAAAATCACAAACTAGATTCTGTGATTATAGTTAAGAGAGATTTAGTTGAGCCAATTCACTGTGTAAAGGCATAACCTTTATCAAAGCTATGGCTATGATAGTAGACACATCGCTATTGGTTCACTGGAAGGCAGTATTTGAAGAATCAGGATCCACGCATGGTCAGCAGAGTCCTGGAGAAGAAAAGACCGACAAACGTCAGTTGTCACCAGAAGTTTACGAGGAGACGAAGTTCTGGGCATGATTTTGGAAAGTAAGTCACAGAAACGTGAATATGATTAAAAAACGACTGCACTTTTGGGTAACTTGGCGAAAAAGACAAAACCGAAAGATGCTGTAAACAGAAACGGCTGTTACGACACGTGTGATAAACCAGTGAACGTATATCAATGGGGCGCGTGACAGCTCTTATTTCCTATGCAATCCCTCGGGACGTTTTATGAGTAGAACAATGCATTCAGCTCGTGACTTTAACTGTCTGGCAACCATTTACTCTCATTGCTACATGAATTGGACAAAGAAGGGACGAGCAACGTTTTGCCCAACTGGAATGCGTTGGGAGCAAGGCCTCGGTTGTTTTTCGCCCCCTTCCGTTCAGAGTTTTGGAAACGGCGCCGTTCCAAGCAGGCACAAAGTGAAAGTGCAGAGGGCAATATAAAAGTCATAAAAGTTATCTTTGCTATCTGCTGATTTACAGTAAACTTATCTTCACAGGGGGATCAGGAAAATTAGCTGAATGATTGTTTGCACGAAGCATAATTAAACAAAATTTCTGAAGACACCCATTGGGCAAAGGAGTTCCAATCAATTTTGCTGTGTTAAAATTTATTAAAGCGTTCCCACGTATCGAAATTCTGCCTAAACAATCTTCACGAGTATTAGTATTTGAAGGAGTTTTCCAGAATTAAGAAAACGTACTTGGGACGAAAGGTAGTTTAATTAAGAGTCAGTACCAAATTTTTTTGATAAAAAGACCTATTAAATGAATTAGGAGATTAAAATGATACAACCAAGAAGAGGAGATAAATAAATTAACTTACTGGAAGTGGTCAAGAACGTGTTTCAAGTTTTCAGCAATGCTCCAAAGCGTTGGAAATGTGTATCTTAAACAAGAAACAGTAAATCAGGCTTTCTTAATCGGCGTACGTTGAGAAGTGGACCACAGAGCTGCCGGGAGCACTCGGGTTAGAATAATGCAAAAGGGATTTTAGAACGAAATCGAGTTCTTGAAAGGTTGGGCTTCACCCTCCGCTCACACTCCATAAACCAAATTGACTGGTAGAATCAATACAATTAATACAAATTTGATTAATGGCCTCGAAATCGTGACAGAACTGACAGATACTTCCTAAATCGTGCATATTTTCTTAGAGAAGGCGTGAATGTTTTGGAAGAGAATTTTTGTGCCATCGGATTTGAAAACTTCGGACGTATAAAATAGGGCAACAGTAGTTGGTGGTTTTACAAGCTGAAATAGAGAAGTTCCCGTACTGACGAAGCGAAGATCCAGGCTGGTACAATAAAACAATTTCCACCGGGGTAGAATTTCTTCTTACAACGTTTCAGCATCAAAACGTTTAATTCAAGGGGCAAAACAACTCAGTAATAAAATATGGAGATTTTTATAGAAATTGAACTTTTAACTAAATGGTGTGATTGAATGTCAATATGCAAACCGAAGTATCTTAGTATGCAGTCAATTACACGAAAGGCGGTTCATCCGACGTAGTTTATTCAGTAAACAGCAACAAGAGTGTGTAGAATCAGCAATATTTATCAGCCTGTGTTCCTGTCCCAAAACACCACCTTGTTTTTCTTGGTACTTTTTTTCAAGGATTCAACTACCAAATTTGCAGTAAACCAATTACAGAAAACATCTTTTGATGGTACTTTGGTCTTCATTTTATTCTGAAAACAGCGACCACCGAAAGAACCCTCTAGTTAAATGTTTGGTTTTTACGGGCGCGCCTGAGACAGAAGCCTCCCCTTCGGGTCCTGAAGCAATGCATTCGCGCACCTTTGCATTATCACCCAACCGTACTACTGGATGCCCTGACGGCCGTCACTTGCATGGCTATTCCATGCATGTCATAGGGGTTCAACACGCCTCTCAAATCGATACAAGCAAGCCACGCACGCCAGGCTGTTCCGCTTCCCCATACATAAATTTGGTTCATCTCACCGAGTAATGTGGCTATTTGGCAATGGGTCAGTATGTGAGGGTACGGTAATATGGCCATAAGTTTAGCATCCTGCATGACAGTTTCATAACGGGCTCGTGTAGTTAAATTATTAAAAAGCATTTGCAAAATACAATACCAGGCATTGTTGTTTGATCGGAAGTGTGCTTGTATTGCACGGCGTTTATTCGCGTGGAAGCAGCGAATTGTCTTTTAGCTGCGAAATTTCTCCACTAGGCGCGAGTTTTATGAAGCCAAAGAGGAACAATCACTGCCCTACTGTGAGTACTCGTGCCTGATTCGACCATTGTGACATGCAAGGTAACATCAACAGTTAAATGAACACACAATGTGTTAAATAAAAACAAGCGCAGAGGCACTGCTGATTGGTTGAAGGCGTGGTTTTGGGATTTCGCGGGTGCAAGTCTGCGACACAGCAGTAAGGCTTTGACTAGATGAAACGGTAGAAACCCATTATATTTGGTGGTGCAAATTTATGCCAAATGTAGTAGATCCTAGAGTTGGTTTCGCGGCAAAATGGACTTGGCGTTAAAACACCATGACGGCTTTGAAGGATGGGAAAGTTGTGCAAAATCTCTTAATCAATGCCACAAACATACGAAGCAGGCAGTTCTTCCTCTCCGTCTCCTTGTCCTGGAAGATCCACGCTAAGCCAAACAGCACGTTCAATGATTGGTCGCATCTTTGGATGGCCAACGAAATCCTCGTACTGGTAATCTAAAATGTTTTCGTTTGGCAATAAGAGGCGCTATTTCGTGTAACAGTATGCTATTTCTACTTTGCTCCACAGAAAAAAACTGCAGTTTAAATTTTTCATGCATGTGAACTTTGTCCAATACGCCTACGCTTGAACGGGAAGCGGTGGTGGCAGACGGCTACAAGAATTCTGGTCACATCGACAGACGGCGTGTGTGTGGACATGCCGGCCTACGCCTACCATCAACAACAAACCAATAAGCTGTCTCAACAGCAAACCCAAAGCATAGAAGAGTGAGGCAAAACTAGAAAAGATAATTTGGACTATAGTGGGTTGGGAAGAAAATGACGGCTATATATTGTCTATTTTTCTAATGACACTGACAAATATCGGGTAATTTTATAATTCCGGGCCCACAGACCTTCTGGTTCTTTTTGTGAGAACCCCGAATTACGAATACGGATCATGATCGCTAGTGAGATTTACCTTTTAGAGAATTTCTCCTAGTAGCAAGTTGATTGCGAAACGCGCCACCGCTTTTCAAAAGTGCTACAATATTTTTATGCATGTTTCCCTTCATTATCTAGCAAAACACTATTCCTTTAAGATTCGCCTATTCTTGTTGTCTTCTATGGGTGATTACGACTGCGGTTTCACTTGCTGTTGATGTGGATTGATCGTTTGGAGACTTACAAGTAGTTCCATATATGTAAATCCTTTGTGATTTCACTACATTGACTGAATAATTCTTTTTGAATCAATCCAGCTTTCGGTGTGGCTGGTGCTGGAGTTTCATGCTCTGATCATTATCAAGTAATGTTATTGTTGACGATGCATTTTCTATCTTCTGATGATTATTTTCAAAAGCACTTGGTATGCATTTCGACAATGGTATTTAGTAGGTCAACCAGAGCGTTGGTCATTTTGAGTGAAAAAAACTTCAGAACGAAACTTTGAAAAAACCATGACCAGTGGCAGGTATTAGGCGATCAACACCATGAACCTAGGATATCTATTTTTGTCAGCCTCAGCAGAATTCAAGAGGTATTCTTTTTAACGCCCCATAGCAAAATTGACGCTAAATTAGCACCTTCAAGCAAAATGATGAGCAGGTTGCCTATCAAGCTAGGAGGCAGTCATATCTGTCAAATAGAGATAAAACCGATGACTAAGGTTCTTCAAAACAAACAAGCTTGATTAATGCGCTCATTTGAAGTTTGCGATATTTTTCGGAATGTTATTTCAATTTTCCTCCCATACGCCCAGACCCACGTAGTGACTGCGGTCTACTAAGATGATAATAGTCTCTGAGTTGTGTAGTGCAAGAAACTTGACAATTAAAACTGACATGAGAAAAGAACGCATTCACAGGCTTAACACGGTAAAAATCATGCAAAAGAATGCAACTGTAGGCAATAGTCAAGACGTCTCGCTAAGACAGTGAAGGGAAATATTCACAAGCTACGTTTAAGCTTATTAACGAATTATGTGAGATAAAACCAGATTCAGACTTAAAACAGTAATTAAAAATTGCCTTTAATAAGTGTTCCCGCTACCAAATGCGCAGACCAGGATAGGATTAGGACTAATGGAGGTTGCAGTTTGAGCGGTTAGTGGTCAACCAACCGCGTCCAGAACACACTTTTCTTTAGACATGCAATGCAATAATAGAAGAGAACCCGGTAGTGTCATTTGTTTCGTAAAGACGAGTCCCGAATAATTTAAAGGTGTTAAAGCAAATTTATAAACAATTCGACCAGATCGAACACCATCTATGAAGTCATACCAAGTGCAGTGTTTATGCAGTGAAATAAGTGCATTTTTCCCCAACAACCCTAAATGAGAAGTGTGGTTGATTTCACTTCACCAAGTAACATGACCTTTAGATTAGGGGGATGTACTGAGTTATCAAGCCAATGACTCCCTCAAGTCCGAAACTCCCAAGCTCTTTTAAAATACCGCTTATTTTTACATTAACCACGAAATCAACTCGTTTGGTTGGCACTGCCACACACCTTCTAGTGCTGTTCCTCAGCAAGCGAGAATGAGTTTCTTAAACAATATTTGCTCGTTTGATGGCCACTGAATCCATGGGTAATACGAATTTAAATCACCGGTGACAGGAAGGCCATTGTGTTGCGACCTTGAACCATGATGAAAATATCGGCAGAATAAAGCGACTTCCCTTCGACCACTTCGAAACACCCTGGTCCAAGATCTTATTGCCGTGTTTACCCTAGAATGACTCTGCTTTCACTACTACCATTGTGCTTGACAAAAGCCCTGACAACTGCGCGAAAATTAGCCAGCTAAAGTCGCTTGTAGCTGGAATCTTGCCCATATCTTTGGACGCTATCAAACCCAATAAAAAAACCTAAATTATCGTGGCTGCTTATTGCGCTGGAGTAAGGCACATTTACAGGAGAAATAAGCCTAGCGAGCTCAGGAAATGAAGTACTAATTTCTGCACCATTTTTACTGTCCCACAACACCCAGCACTCTATTTGAATTGGTTGCTTTGTTATAGAAACCAAAGCATAAAGATTTGAGTAAGGTTCAATGAACGAGCACAGTTTACTCCCAATGTAGAGCCTTAGAGGTCACACTGCCCAATGTTGTCCAAGACGTGATCCTAATTGAAATCACACGGTATTTTTTAGTGAGGCTGAGGTACTTACCAAGGCTACGTTGTTAGATCATTGCGGGATTTACAAAAACTACGCGTATTTAAAAAAACACAGCCACCCACTGCTTTCAACCTTTCTGCTTCCATACGCTTTAGGATCTACAGGACGTCAGTTTTCGGAATTATGAAACAAACGCGCAGACAACACCAAAATCAAAACAATTTTAAAGGTACAAACGTTCAATGTCGGTCCGACAAGTACCAAACGGGACTGAAAATAGCATCAATAAAAATCAAAGTGACGATAAATTTGCTGGCTGAAATCCCTGGATTTAGAATGGCACACGCACAACCATTTTATGAGTGTGCATTGTCAAAATGAGGTGCATCTTTAAGAAGTGGACATTTCCCAATGCATTAAGGTGACAAAATTTAGTGATTAAAAACTGAAGTTCCTACTCAATTGGTAATATCGGCTTGCTACTATGTGAGGAAATGTGTCATAATGATATAGCTTGGGGAACATTAAAAGCGACCGTAAAATGCATCAAAATTTGTTGTTTAATTTATTCGGACTCCAATACGTTAACTATGCAGCAAGTTGAAAAATCTCGGTCATCTTTAGTATTTCCTTGGCCACTGAGGCAAAACATGCAATAGACCTCTGTCAAAATTTCGCATTCAATGTCTAGGTAGCTGCATTTAGGGTTCTACAATGTGACCGGTAGAAACAACCAGATCATTTTACTTTACTTCAAATGCAGATTGTACATATCAAATTGTAAAGATAAGAAGGGGGATCAAGTCATTGATATCCAAGCGATATAGAAACGTTTTCTGTTTGGTATAACGTAACTTTTAAAGGCTAGAAGTGGAATGCTTAAAACATATTGCTATGCTGCATTACAGAAGGAAGCTTCGCGACTAAGTGTTAGACCCAGCCTAAATTTTTTTAAAAATCTACAATACCTCGAAATTTTTCTGGCAAACGTTCACGCTTTTGAAGTGATTTATTAAAGCAAAAAACAAGCGCAGTGTTAACGGCTGCAGGGTGTAAATATAAATTGTGAATATCATATTTAAATTTAGGATGACGCCAACGGCATTACCTGCCCTCCTGGTGCCACGCATTCCTAACCTTGACTGCTGCAAAACTATTTCAAGGCCAGCGCAATATTTTGTTACAAAGGAAAATAACATCAATTACAGCTGACAATTAGCCCTGGTAGAAAGACCCTCAACCATATTGATCAGGCGGGGAAATTGCAGCATAGCATGTTCGCCCAAGCACCATTGGAATGTGATTCTTAAGAACTGCACCTTTGCAAATCAGATCCTGTTTGATAAATAGACACGAAAAGCGAATTTTAAGAATCGGAGGGGACTGGATGGTTGGAATTAAAAGATCGAATTTGGTTGGTGGGTATTGTCTACACTTACTTTAAATTCACTTTTACTTCGAATATGTCACAGGAAAAGTGGTGTCCATGTGACTTGGGATTCACTATTTAAATATAGTACAGAATGAAAAAAGAATTATTACTCAGTGTATATAACTACTAATAATGATGAGGGAATTGACTTTGACGCGAAACTATTGGCTGTAAATAAAAAAAACTGATCTCTGCGTTTTAACACAAATCGCTTATTTAAAAGCTTTTGTTCCATAATTTACCAGTTTTTCGCTGCAAATAGCTTTTAAGTCACTCAATCTTTCTGAATTGTCACACTGGATGTCCGTTAACAAATAACTCTTAATAATTAGCATATAATTAACATACGTAAGTCCAAATTTAAAAATTTCGACAACATTTAATGCAGATAAACTGAAACACTAGTAAAACGGAGTACCGACTGCTTGGAATCTGAGACCTTCTAAAGACTTCACGAACCCATTAGTTTGAGGCCAAGAGTCTGCATAGGGTGCTTAGCATTACTTTACCAATTTCTGATAGAAAATTTGTGCATTGCTGGCCTTGATCTTGAAGCATACTAGCGTATTTTGTGCGAAATGTTGTCATGTTTCTGCGTCAAGTGAGTAAAACTTTAACGCAATTTTTTTCTAACTACTCAATTACTTCTGTCATAATCCACCAAATATTTTTTTGCTTTTAGCACTTCTAACTTTTTTGTGCGGAAAATAGATTACCGCGGTCCGGACAAGTAAAAACTACGTCTGTAAAGTAATCTGTCTGCCACTGCACACAGCTAAAATATGGCAAACAAAAAGAAGAGGTAGAAAAAATGGCGGTTTAAAAATGGATAAACACGATAAAATGCAAGGGACGTCGCCAAGAAAAAATTTAACATCACAACAGTTTTGGAGTGGGTGTACCAGTTCCACTTGCTAAAACAACTATGAAAACTAAATAAAGGCTTGCTGTCCATGAACTGACGATGCTACGCGATTCCAAACATTGCAGACGATGGGATTGAAATGAGAGTCGTTTTCGAAATAAGGAGAAATTCGAGGGAGGTCTAGTGGTCTGACACAGAAGAAACGACAGTATATGATGGGACACGGTCATAAAAATTTGTAACCAAACGTGTCACACAAAGAGTTATAATTAAAGTAAATATGACAGTAAATAAGACTGTTTTGCTAGTCGGTTTGTGAAAGAACACAAATTAACTTGATTTGGCTTTTACTGCTATAAATATACGGCTTCTGTATTGATTCAGAGTCCGTAAGCAAACCTTCATCAGTGTTAGAATGCAAAAGGAAAAAAATGCACTCTACACAGGATTAAAAGAGGACTATGCACCTAATCGGAGTAAAGGCTTACTCCAGACTTCCAACAAGAACATTTCCCTGGTTATTCAGTACCCTACTATAAGTTACAAGTTATATCAAGTCTGTTATAATAATATTAGGATCCGTCTTGGCAAAAGCAATCCGCACAATGCGATTTCTAATGATCGACCCAAAAAGACTCATTTTGAGCACTTGCTGGCTGGAATTACATCATTTTGATGCAGAGTGGCCCAGAAGGCTCTGCGGTCAGACAAGTCATCAAGTCGGGGAGTACGCGAACCTCAGCTCCAGGCCAAACAAAACAAACGTCGTCTTGATCTAAAAATTAGTTCCATTAAAAGGGCAGTATTCTTTTATCCTATATTGTGGGAATAACCAAGTCTACATTTGCACCAGTTTATTCCTCAAACAACAATACATTAGAGGGCAATTTGTAGAAATTTTACCAGAGTCCTATGTTTTAATTGCCTTTTACCTATTTACCAGGCAACAGGTTTAAAGTTGATTGCCAACGATAGGTCAATTAAACAACAATTAAAACAATATTTCGGCAATAATAAGAAAAATTGCAAAACGTATCTAAATCCTACATTTATATTCACAGGTATGGGCGTGCAGAACCAGCAATCGCATACCAGCAACGAAAAAATCACAAGACTTCAGCTGGCAAAGCAAAATACTGTGAAAACAACCTTGATTTAATTCCGAAAAAATGAAATCCACATAACTTTAAATTTACAGAACTTTGCTATGCTCGACCATCACACTAAACAATACAATACTTAAAAGTAACAGTACTAACTGTTCCTGTTAATACTGGATGTTGAGTCTGATCATTTAGTGATTAGTGGCTTTTTTTAATAAAATATGAGGCAACGTACGGTTACATCCAAGGTCATGAACAGCAAAAAAAACACAACTTCTCAACGCGAGATTCCCCTAAAAGACAATAACTTACATCAGTAAATAATTTTTGGGCCGAAAGCCTAAATATTCAGTGCATATTGTTTTAAGGCAAAAGAAAAATTATATTAAACAAACCATTAACGAATTACAGCAAATTATAATTAACTGGGAATATTAAATGAACCAATCTGCATATCTTTAGAGAAGTACAACTCCAATAACTACAGAAAAGGATATATCAGATACTCCAACAACCCTCTTTGTAACCCTGACAATAATATTAAAATATACATTACAGGGCCAACAAATTTTGGTCCTGCTACAAGTAAAAAATTCAAATGTCTTATGTGTTATTTTGTCAAAGCTATCAACACTTATCAAAATTCCCAATTACAGAATAACAGTCCCTATTATCGAAATTTTTAGATAATTCAGTCCAGTGACTCAACAGTTGCAGAAGCCGATTATATAACTTTAGGCCCACATCTCGTTTCAAAATACATTGAAACTGATAGTAAATTGCCTTTTTAGAGGCCTAATAAGATCAAATTTTTTGGAGGCTTTTGTTTCTTTGGTACCAGTAAATCTTAGAAATGCTTATTTTCAAAGCAAACATCCTGATTACTGAAAATCGGCACAATATCCTTAACGCAAAGACATACAAACGGATGGCTTTTAAGATATGAATGTAAAACTTTAAAAAAAGCATGTTGTGAATCGTATTTATACACACTCCTTAATCCGGTCGCTCAATCCTCCGACACAGGGTTCGCGTTTTCGCAGCATGTCGCCAGCCGCGCGGATCCTCAAATCCCTCCCTCATTGGTAAGAATATTTATCTTGGATTATCCTCACACCAAGGTCTCAATGTTAGCTCATCTATGACTCAGGTATTTGAGAAATAAATAAACACGCCTTAAACCCCACCGAACGACACAACGACACCAACGTGGTGGGGCTCTGAAGTAAAGGGTTTTGTCCACGTTCCCTCCAGTCTTCTTCTTCATCATGGGTATCAGGAAAGCGTAATCGCGCCAGGGCTAATTTAGTGGCCGCGGAGCGGCTCAAGACCACATGCTGGGGCCCACAGCAAGTACTTACATCTTACAAAAGGCTACTTGAAGGCATCACAAGTACGACGGACAGACATAACCTGTTACAGGTGCTGCGGTTGACATTTCCCAAATATTTGACAGGTTACAGCAAAACAAGAATAAACCCAACCCCGTGACGAAGCACCACAACGAAATATTTACACTAAGCACCAATAAATTGCATGCAATTTGAGAAATGCAAATCCAAATAACTTAAAGTGAAGCTAGACCAAAAAGGTATGTAAAAAATAACAGAAATTATGATCTGTTGACTAAATGTACAAAAGACAAAAATTACAAAAATTTCACAAAATTTATACCATTTCAAGATTAATAACAAATTCAAACTTGAGAAAAAAGACAATAATTAGTCAAGCTACTTACGACCAACAGTTAGTGATGTTTAAATAAAAAAGTGCTACCTATCATTAAAGTTTCTATACACGATCCTTATCTATGACTGCTAAGGGTCAAATCGTCATTTTTATTTGAATGAAATCGTCTCATGCATTTGAAGTTACCTGCACAAAAACGTTGACTTTACCCATAGGCAGATCTAGCTCATAATGCTAAACAGAATTAAAAAAATAAATATTCTCTACTTGTTCTGACGACATCCCCAAAGCCGCCATTTTGTAAGCTTTTATCTTTTAGCAGTGCAATCAAATAAACTTCGACCCCTAAACCTGCCTAATATAGTGCAGATAAACAAAATAAGGAAAACAGCAAAATAGTGCCAAACAGAAATTTTCAACTTACTATTACCTATAAACTTTCTAAATTAGTGTCAAAAATCCCACTTAATATAAATGCTTTTTGAATTTGTAAAGCAAGGACATTTTGTCATTAAAAAAAAACACCATTTAATTTCGATCCTCCTGTTGTACCAAAATGTCTATGTTGACAAAGTAAACTCAATAACACGAGTAATGGTAATAATTCATTTTAAATTCAAAAATTATTTCACGGTTTATCTTCGTGGTTTTAATGTCCCTGAGCATCAAAATGATAATATTCAGGATTTAATAAAGATTTCCTTACATACACACCACATAGTTTATTCACGGAATTTCGCAAAATCACCTTGATACGCGTCCACTAATTCAGTTGTCACTCTAACCGCCACACTGACCTCCACTACACGCTGTCCCTCCTGATCACGCGAAACCGTCAACTCAAACACCTCTACGCCTGTATTAATACAGATACTCTCGGCATAAAAAGCTGTGTTTGATTTGCATTTTTTTTCCGCCACAAGAAAATTAATTCGGAAAGGAGCGCTTTATTATGCACACAACGATTTATCAAGTAGCTGACTGTAATACTTCAACTTGCAATACTAATTAAAAGAGAGGAGGCGTCAGGCTTTCCGGCTTCAGGAAGCTATGACAAATTTCCTACTAATTCAGTTCACTAGCAAATTTAAAGGACGGGATGCTGGAAGAATGAAATAAATTTATTTTTCTTACTAAATAAAAAAACTATTTTCCCCACCTTGAATGTAATGAACTTGAGTTATTTTAAATTCAATTTCGAGATAAATTTGCCATCATGATCCATTCGAATCGCTTTAAAAAAATTCTGATACTTTTTTGCTATTTATTCTGAACGGTAAAAGAGAAGTTACATTTACGCTTATTCTGTAGATAAGCACTTAGTTCGTTCTAATGAGCCACCATCGGAATCACAGAACAAAAATTAGAATTTCCTCGGCTTGCATCCTTGCCAAAGTAGCAAACAGAGTGCACTGGTAGCTAAGATGAACAATCATATTTAGAGTAAGTAGTTAAGTCTGTGGCCTAATACATAATCAGAAGACATTTGTAAAAAAATGTCATTACGGATATCGAACAATAGGACAAGAAAAAGGCTGCATAGATATTTACATTGCTCAAGCTAATTGAGGGCTTTTGTTAATTAATTTCTCTTTGCTGTTATTTATGATCTAAAGTGATCGCACAAGAAAAATATCTGTTCTTTATATTCCGCTGTTAAATTGTGATTAAAGTAAGAAAAGACAACTTATTGAGGTAAACTTGAACATTAAATAAAATTTTCAAAAAACACTAGCAAAAATTGGGTGGTTACTTAAATCAAGCAGCAAATTAACCGTTGATAATTTTTGCGAAACACCGTTAAAGTAAAAGAAAGGTGCAAAAATGTGTGGACTGTTTCGATGTGTCATGCTTTGCTGCTGAACCCACAATTTGAAGATCGGGCAAAATATAATCAAGTCACCAAGCTGAAATTAAGAACGAGTGTTAATGCGCTGCATTTATATTGATGAAATCGTAAAAATAAAATTTGAGTGGTTGGTTTGGTTTCCACATGCACAGTCAAAAAAATAATCGAAAATTTAATAAAGACGCCAAAATTTCAGTTTTACAAATGTCTTAATATTTATAGCTTAAATAAAACTGGATTTATTGTGCAAAAATAGTTGTATCAAGAAAATTCGTCAGGAAAGTGATAGCGGAAAACGATGTTTGCAGTCTTAACCATCCTTTCTTGTGGTTGGCTTTTATCACTTCGTTAAACCAATAATACACACGCAAGTAGGTACCTTTTACTATGACCTAATAGGTGTACAGCCTTGTCGTTTGCTTTGTGTCTGTGCTTCGTAGGTTTCCGTAGATGGCCAAGTGTGGTGTGCGGTCAATGGAGGTACAGTTTGTTGTTTTGTTTCAACTCGACCGTGTATGCCTAATGCGCACACAGTTTCTACGTGCTTCTTTGTTTTTTGCTCATAATACACTTTCGTAAGGTTATTTTGGTTTCTTTTAAACAGACTTGAGTTGACTTTATTTCAAGTATCCCCAATATCCTAACAATATCGCGATGTTAGAGTTTTCTACCAATTTTATTAAGAACGATTTGCTTGGCTAATCATTTTTTAACCATGTCAAGTGCCCATTTTTTTCTCAATAACTCATTATAAAGTGCAACTATTTCGTTAATTTGCTGCGGTCAGCAACCTCTTCAGATGAGTATTCTTCTATACTTTTTTTCAAGTGATTTAAATGCCTTCCGAATGGGATGCGTAACAAATATGTATAAATTGTTTCCGCCTATTTAGTGGCCCGAAGTTGCTACTGCAATCCGTGAACATCGACGGGAGTTAGTAGTGTCAAACCATGATGGAATGGATCCCCTTCTCTATTCACTGAAACAGCTTAACTTTCTGGACATTTCAAAGTGTGGAATTAGTGAGTTATCCGAAGATGTTAGCAACTTAAGCGAACTCACAAAGCTCTCGTTACAGCATAATCCCCTTCCCACGTTGCCCAGCGGCGTTGGCCTTCTTAGAAACCTTCGCTTTCTCGACATCTCCTTCAACTGTATATCGGATCTCCCCTTTACAATTTTCGATGAGCTCTTGCGTCTTGAGACACTTGTGATGGACTCTAATAAACTAGTTTCTCTCCCTTCCCTCAAAGGTCTTGTTGATCTACATCACATGTCTGTGTCAAACAACCAGCTGTGTGATTTTCCTGAAACGATTACGGAATGCTGCAAAATTATGACTATTGATGTGTCTGGTAATCGCATATCTGAACTTCCTAACTGCCTTAAGTGGGAAAACTTGGGCAATTTGCAACGACTAAACCTAGCCAATAATAAACTCACTTTCATACCCGAGGAATTAGCGGAGTGTAAAAAACTTAGGGATCTTCGTCTCTCGGATAACCCACTAAAGGACAATCGTCTCAAGAAGCTTGCTTCCGATCCACGATCTGGACCTGCAGTTATTAATTACATCGGAAAGTCGGTGAAGGGGAGAAGTCGAAAAGTGGACAAAAATGGGAAGTTAACCAGAAATTCATCTGGTCAACCCGACCTTAAATCGTGTACTGAAGAACCCTCCGCTGTCCATGCTCTGATTGTCTCCCCAACCACGAATGATGAGGTAAACTTCCTATTTTTCATTTGACTAGACATCGCTATTAACTGAAGTGATGACGTATCTATTGTCATCTGATTTCAAATGTGGATATCAAAAATATCCTGTGACTGCGTTCAACATAATTTTGATATAATGAATTTGGAAATCAAAACTACTTTGATCCCTGTACTTCAATAGCAAAAGAAATTGAATTAATTTGCGGTGGGTACTAACATACCACGGCTTTACTAAAGAGAATTAACCTTATGACGACGCATTACATGTCAAACTGTTTTTTTAAATTTCTTAATTTTTTCTTCCTTTCTGTAGAAATATTTTATCGGCGTTGTTAAACCAGAAGAAATTCGGAATAGCCTTCGGCCAAGAATCTTTGCTTGCGTCGTCTCTGGAATTAGTCTCTCTGCCGAAGGTGTACTGCCTAATTTCATGCGTTTTCAAACAAAGTTGCACAATGGATTGGGGGAGCAGCGCAGGGTAGCAACTTTTTGCACTCACGACCTCAAGCACGTCACGTTGCCCCTTAAATTTTCTCTGCAGTCGGTTGATTTCGCCTCCGTAAGTTTGTCATTGTACTCCCCCCTACTTGAAGGCACTTCACACTCTTGCTAAACGTCGATTTGACAAGGTCGCAGATCCTGTTTAGTCTTTCTTGCTCTTGCAAATCCTAGCTTACTATGTCATATTCCGCTTCGCCAGCCTGATTCACTAAAGCGGATGCCTTGGCGATTTTTCACATCTTTCAAATTTATGTAATAATTATGAAGTGTTTCCTGGACGCCTCTGTTTGCTAAGCTTTGATTACCTAGTCTATGTAGACACTTGAGAGTTGAGTATGTAACGAACGCCAAAAGCACCTTGTTAGAAATCCTGCATTATAATAATATGCTGGTGTGTTTATGTTGTTTTAAAACAGTAATTGCTAATGAATAATACGCATGCAGCAAAAAATAAGTTAGGAAGTGCAATGAGCTTAATTAGTCTGGCTCGACGCAGCGCTCACTGAGTGAAAAAAACATAAGCGGCGCTCAGTGGAGTTGCCGTGTCAGTAGATAATTACATGGCCGTCACTGAGTACCACAGCACGTTCATGTTTAAAGGGAATCACTTTTAACTCCATACACAAGTAGTAAGTTTAAAGTTGTGATTTATTTGCCAGTCAGATGAGTCTCCGCTAGGGCTTTAACAATTTTGAAGTCCTGAAAATTGCCCGTAAATTACCACCGAACTTTACATTCAAGGCAGCGCTCTAAGGAGGCCTTTATTGGCCTCGTTTATTCTATTAACGAGACACCAGTTTCCGGAACAGCACACTCACTACTAATCTCGTTGTAGTTGTCTTTCGCAGTCGAACGTCGAATTTTAGTCAGTTTCTAGTGTAATCGAAGCTTAGTTTGAATATGGGTTGAATATAGTCGCCACTTTGCTGGCAGCCATCCTGCCAGTTGATATCAAACAACTTTAACGTCATCATCTCATCCATTGGCCATGTGTTAATTTATACGTGTTTTTAGTGGCTTTACAATTTTATTTTCGTGAAATGTTCCCGTAACTCGATCTATTTTGTGACCAATGTTAGGGTAATTGCCACCAACGGTGAATTTTCCCTACCAAGTACTTACTATTTGATTTTACTCGAATTGAAGCGAATTTTGTTGTGAATCAGTTATCAGGCAATTTCCGAGGTTTCTCTGCCTTGTTTTAACTAGCTCAAATGCAGAACTTGTGATGACATAGCTGTGACGTGCCTTTCTTTCCACCACCCTTTCTTTGAAGACTTCTCGACGTTTACTTTCACAGGGTGCTGGTAATTCTAAGTAACTTAACCCATATGCACTCGACCCATATTGTGACTTTGCGGCCTGTGCCCCTTTCGATATACTTGTCCTCAAGCGGTTTCCCAAGTTCAACTCTGAATACCTCGTTTAGCTCACGTCCGCTCATTCGATAGTAGAATCTACTCCTCTTTTCTGGTTTCCTCTTGACATTATGTTCAGCGTTTCTGCAGGACTGGAGCTATTTTGTCTCTTATCATGTGTTTATTTATAATACTAGTTTGTTCATAAGAATAAGCACACGCTATGCGATATTCTGGTGTACTTAAAGTTCTCACTCAAGCTTTTTGTGTGTTCGAACGGTGTCTGTTAAAATTCACTAAGTGAATTATGAGATCTTTCCTACCAGATCCAGCCACTGAACATGGCAAAGGTGATGACAGCTCGTCAACTGCTCGCGCGTCTGCAGCTTGAGGCAGAATCGGAGAGGAAGCGCCGAAAGATGACCCAGTTCAGCAGCTTGATGCGGTACCTCGAGATAATCTCGCCGTTACTAGGTCCAGGCCGGGAGACCTTGAATGCCGCTGCCCATGCGGAATTTCAGCCCCTGCCTGTCACCACTGACGCTGCTGGTGTCACGCTTTCCCTGCATCCGCTCACTGGGTGTCATCAGACACGGGTATGTCCACCATTCGCCCGCCCGCTTCCCCCCTAATGCCAGTGTCGATTTCATATGGATTTATAGCACTTCCCACCTATTGAAAGTAATTAGAAAAAGAAACTGTATTCGGGTTGGTGAAAGACGGTTAAGATGACTAAGCCGTAATAATTCGTGGCGGAGAAAAGTATAACCGTGTTCTGAAAATTTCAACAATGTTCTTAATACGATGAAGCTGGTGTCTGCGGCTCACCACGTCAGTGCTCAAGTACATCGATCACGCATATAAATTTCACTTACGTCGCCTTCAGCTATCTCGGGAAACTACCTCAACTTTGATCGAAGTGGCTGGTACAAGCGATGAAGTCTGCAAGAAAATTATTCGAGCCCTGATTGGGTGGTTGGTGCACAATGCGCGACCATCGTCCGAGGATGAAGTCCCTCCTTCCGAAGGTGCCTCTGCTCGATCGGCCGTCCTCACGGTTTCTCCCATCACTGTTGTGAATGCTGAGTCAAAGGCTCCATTCTCTAAGTATCCTACAACTGCTGACATTGAGAACCCTGAATTTCTTAATGTTGACGTCTGATTATTAATGCTTTTTTGCTACGATTTGTCTCTATAACAGACAATTCTTTTTCATTAACCTGTGAGAAACAAACATAAATCTTTATAAATATGCTTTTATGTTTAATTGGTCGATATCGTCAGTCTATTGAGGCGTCAAAATGCAGCAACCTGGCTTTTCTATATGAAGCTGATTGTTAAGTCTGCTTAATATTTTTCTTCCATTCACATCGGTGCTTTGTACGAGCCGACTCTTCATTATTTTGAAGTGGGTGTTCAGAGACCCACCAAAAGGACACAGACGGTTAAAACATCGTGGAAGATAACCATTTCGTAATTATTTGGTAAGTCCGTTAACATTCACTCAAACGACCCACACCTATGTCCTAAATACCTTTAAATTTAGCTATTCGACTTTGGTTCACATTCCAAGTATTGATTGTCATACATTGGTTCTGAGTCTGGAAGGTTGCACTGCCTTACGCATCGGTGCTGTAGACTAGAAGTGACATCCGCGACCTACTCGAACACATATTGTTTGGAAAGGCAATCATTGGTTTGGCCTATAGTTGGACAAAATATAGCCTAGGTGCTACACATTTCATACTGATTGATTCAACCACTTTAAGTCTACGAGTTAACTTCTAGATGTTAGTGGGAATGACCGAACTGCTCAGATTTCACGTCCATCTGACAATTTACGACCTACTCTTTAGAATCAGATTCTAGCACCTAATAATAAGTCCGGCATATTGCAGCTGATTAGGTTAAAACAGTTGGTGCGTTGTGATCTGGCGTTTTACTTTGTGGACAGTAAAGCACCTTAATTAATGAGAGACACGTGTGTGTGCCAGCGAAAACAATCGGTTTTAATACAGGGACTTCTGAGCAGCGATTAAAAATAGGTTAGCCACCTTTTACAGAATGCGATTATTGCAATAATGCGTGCGTTGTGTGAATTTCGTCCATTTTATCAATGTGTATTGGCTAAGATTCGACATCCTCTCTGAAGAGTTATGCCAATCTGAGGTACACCGTACTAGTACGACGCTGCTTATCTGTGTTGCACTAAATCGATGGGAGATGGCCATGATTTCATTCAAGCTCATTTCCGCCAAGTGGTGCATACCTTTACCTATCAGTATTCAAATTTTCTAATTTTTATAAAATTAGGGTCTAGTATGTTTCTACAGAATGTTAATAGCACTTTTTACGGCAGTTTAAAAACAGTCCATTAGAATTGGGCTGGTTGACTTTTAACAAAATTCATTTGACACATGTTAAGGCTTACCGACGTAACCGGTACGGCTAGAATCATTCTTGAATGCCACAAATAAGACATGTTAGCTGTACGGAAGTATTGTTTTCAAAAATAAAATGAGCTCCTTTTCCTGAAAATATATTTGATTTATACTGTAACTTGCCTAAAGGAGAACGGAATTTATGTGTGATTCCCTGCCCATGACAATGGGATTACGAGGGTGGACTAGAAGAGGACTAATTGTGATCGAAACTCCACTACTTTACACACTTTTCGTATCTGTGGGAAAGCGTGAACGCCCATAATAACGTTTTTTACTTTAGAGCATCAATCGATATCCCACTTATCGAGTGTTTTAGCAGAATTAAAAGGAAACAAGAAGCCAAACACAATTTTACTCGACTTCGGCATACAAGCGAGGATTCACGACTATAGTAACTTCGGGGAAGATGGTCAATCGAGGTGACAATTACATTAACTTTCGTCTTGTCACCCAGTTACCAGAATGCGCGCGATTGATTCAACAAGATTCAGGGCATCATGGTCACCGTGCGCGACTGCAGGGGATGAGGGCTTCGGTGAGTCACAGGGCTGTGCGTGTCCACTCAACGTGCCACCATCACCACCACCACTCTTCCACCCCTAACACCAACTCTCCTGCATTCAACATACGTGCCTACACTCACCATTTTGCCAACTACGTGACGCCAACTCTGCTAACGGCATGAACCCACAGTCAATAACTTCCTAATTTTCTCATGTCAAATTACTAAACAGCGCCTCCTGCCTTAATGGCCTCCTTCGGAAATGCCCTCAAATGTTTGCAGTCAAAACCATGTCAGGGACCATGTCGGCCTTATCATCAAACGAGGTCAATACTCGAGTGGAGTTGGCGTAGGTTAACACAACTCTCCACGTCTAGGAATAGGTCATGCGTGTGCTGACGCTTGTACCGCATTGGATGCTCAGGGCGCCAACCACTCGACTTAACAGTGTGTCTTGGATCTTCCCGATCCCCTAATAGCACTACTAGCAGTCTAGCACAAAGTTTGCATATCGTACCTCGAAATACGTGCGATGAAATTGTACTTCGAGAGCCCATTCATTTTAATGAAGTGTCAACCGTGGATGTGGAACACAAAATCGGCTTGTGTTCAAAATGCTAATTTTACTTTGAATGCTGAAGGCATTTCCCCACAGGAGGTTCAGGAAACTAGGGGAAGAGATCAGAGGAAATCTGCGGATAGTGTTAAAGGGCTCACAGTGCCCAGGAAATGAGATTTGAGAATCAAATCAGTATGTTCGGGGATGCGATGGAAGATAAGAATACTGTGAAGGGGCAGATTCGGCACCATTGTCGAAAAACCCGGTTAAAGCGGAGAGAAGTATGCTGAGTGTTCACTAACGGGTCCACATCAACTGAAGTACCTGTGAGTTATTACTTATTGAGGATCAACTCACTGCCGGTATCGCTGACACCGTGGCGAACTTACGATCATTGCTGAAACAAAAGCAAGTCATGGGAATCGGGTCGTCAACAAGGACGAATGTTTGTGCTAGAAACATGCGTAAAGTAGGGGTAGGTTCACACACAGCACGACTGTGAGCAGAGAAAATGAAGGGCGAGGGTGAGGAAATAATGGGCTCACATTTAGGGAACTGAAAAGCCCAATATGAGGGTTAATTCAGTATTCTTCGCACAATCCCTCCATTTATTTCGTTGTGAGCGAAATCGTCAGTCGATTGGTTTAAATCAAACCCAGAAAACTACGTGAATGTGTCGTCACCGTGGTGTCCCTTGATGCCCGTGGCTAACCCGCTCCGAAGAGCACAAGCCAATGACTGAACCCAAAAACATCGATAACACTCTCATAAGCCGTGGCATAGGCTGGAATTTGCGCATTCCTTCACCGACGAGAGCGTTGGTGTTCAACGTTTTATCGGATTTCGATCTGCTTGCGTCACAGACTGACTGGGCCCGAGATTTTTTCTAACAAATTCAAGTTCTCCACGCTTTCCCTCGCCTCTCATTTCGCACCTTTGTTTGAGCTGCTTCACCTCATTTGTCACACCTTCGTTTTGTCCCCCATTTCCACTTCGCACTCACAGTTCGTTGCAACGAGCCGGCTGAGGGTCTGAAACCCACCCGTGGGTAGGGGCGACAGAAACGTTGGCTGATGAGGCAACGCAGAAGAGGCCGCGAATTTGCTTTCGGAGAGTGTTGGTAGGACAACTCATTAGTCACGTTGTCAAATCATTTAAAATCAATGCGAAAGTAGATGGTGACAAAAGTGCTAAGGACGGTAGACCTTTCTACTGCTTCAGCTTGTGACCGCTTGCTTACACAGGGACCAAAGCTGGCAGACTGGACTCCCACAAATCCAACAAACCAGCAACATCGTGTGGACAATTGCAGCGAGACTGTGGCAATTTCTTGCGAATCGATGGTTGTATCTCCTTCCTCACGCATGGTTGGGTGTCAGAATTTTAATGGCCAATTATAAATGGTAGAGATGAAGTTTCAGGAGTTGGACAGTGTGGAGGTTTGCGCGTGAGGAATGAAGCTCGAGATTCTGATTAATTCAAAAACATGAGTTTGTTTACTTCAATTTTGAAATTTGCAAGATTTGCCAATCATTCGAACGCTAAGGCCTCGATCTTAGGACCTAGAAATTGTCAGATGTTCATTTTGTGGATTATGGGAAAGATTCGTTCTCAGAGAGTTCCATGAAGGGGGTGACTTTTTCGCAAAATTCTGCATTGCCTTTTTTGTCAAATTAACGCAAAAGTTTACTTGATGTGTTCAAAAATGGCTATTTGCATATGTTTAGGATTTGCAGGTGTGTCATTTTCGATGCTACACATGACAACTGCTACCCTTTTGACGAGTTGACAAATCTGAGCTCGAAGGTATGACTTTTCGAGTGGTGGCTGACTACGTTGGCTTCACGAGAATCTGTGCTTATTTGTCAAAAGCGCCAATCGGTAGTAATAGACCAAAATACTGGCTGCTTTAATTCGTTACCCCAAAATATAAAAGAATGTTGCTATTGTGATGAAGTGTTACATTAATTAAAAAAACACGATGTACATGAAAGAAATAAGAAGACAAGGGGCGATGGGAGCCCAACTATTTATTGCAGTGATAGTTGCTAGTAGTTGCAAAAAAAATCACTTTTGAGTAGCAGTTGAATCAACAGACATAAGCCAGTAACTAAGCAATAGAGATATCAAGTAATCTAAAGAAGATTCACTCACGCCGGATAAAAGCATTTGTGTCTCTCGTCAGCGTGCTGATTGCCAACATCGCGGTTATGTATGTGTGGGTGTGCATTTCACAATTAGTCACCAGCAAAGAAATACTTCAACAGATGCTCAAAATAAAAAGTAAAGGTGTATAATTTGATTGATGCAAACCGAATGCCAGGCAGATCTAGCAGAAGTGATATAGTATTAGTGAAGACACCCTGGGTTTGCTTTTTTCCTACAAATGGTAGGAACTATCATCATTCAACCATCAACAACCCCTACTTTCTTCGAATACGAAATCAGCGAGATAATCAAAAACTTGACTGCATTAAGGGATATCTTGTCGGAGAAAGAGAAAAAGAGTGCTGAGCTCTCAGCCAGACACTAATACATAAAAATACAACTTAAAGATGATTTTAACGTGTGGAACCCAGAGCACAACGGGTTCTAAATGAATTCAAGGGAACGCTCCACAGTGTAGACTGATTACTAGGCTGTGTGGCCTTCAATAA